GTAAAAAAAAAAAAAAAAACTCTTGCAAAGTGTGAGGGTGAGTTTTACAATTATTCCTGCAGCGACTGTCTGCTTCCTTAAGCTTATCACCGCCTTCAATCCCATGATTCATAGTGCTATAAAAACAAACTGCTAATGAGTTAATCTCTGTAGTGGTCTGCCCTTCCAAACTTCACTCCCTCTGTAGCAAAAACACTAATCCAGCACTGAAACTTTCGGATTTACAGCTGTGTCCCATAAGATACATATCCTGAATATAAAGCAGATACGGTTCACCTTCTGTCCCACTGTAAACTCAAGGGGTCTGTCAGGACCTCCTGCCAAACCCAGAGGAGGTGCTGATGAAAACTGCTATCAATTTACAGCTTTCAATTTCCATACTTAGTGAAGCGGGTCACTGTCGACTGCTAATTTTTCCACCATTACTTTCTTTCCCATATATCTTATTAATTGCTTGTTTCACCTTCACTGGTCTGTATTGAGCCTGACATTGTTTCTACTGTTGATTCTTACTGTTATGGACAAGACAGACTAATATGATTTTTCTTTCAAGTCATACAGGTCAGGAACAGAGCTGGGTAGATTACTTACAAATTGTAGTGGCATTTGTGACAGAAGGAGTTCTATACTTCTGAATGTTCCAGTGAGCACTGTTGGGGCCATAATCCGGAAGTGGAAAGAACATCATTTCACCATAAACCGGCCACGACCAGGTGCTCCTCGCAAGATTTCTGACAGAGCAGTGAAAAGAATTATCAGAAGAGTTGTCCAAGAGCCAAGGATTACTTGTGGAGAGCTTCAGAAAGACCTGGAATTAGCATGTACAATTGTTTAAAAGAAAATAATAAGTAAAATAAGTAATGCACTCAACCGCTGTGGCCTGTATGCACGCTCCCCACGCAAGGCCCTATTGCTGAAGAAAAAGCATGTTGAAGCTCGTTTAAAGTTTGCTGCACAACATTTAGACAAGCCTGTGAAATGCTGGGAGAATATGTCTGGTCAGATGAGACAAAAATTGTGCTCTTTGGATGCCATAATACACACCATGTTTGGAGGTCAAATGGCACTGCACATCACCCCAAAACATCATAGTGTAGCACTGGCAAAATTCATATAACTGAAGGAAGGATGAATGGAAAAATGTACCGAGACATTCTTGA